TAAAGTCATAGAATTGAAACTAATTCCTATCTATACTTTTTAGATTTTATCCGTGTGTGATGAATTTAAATTAATTAAACGGAAACTGCTCATTTCCATAACCGTCAAAGGGTTAAGATACTCTAGCACTGAACATGTTTTAATCTTTAGTTAAACAATATCAGACACATCTTACTATTACTAAAAACATATAAATATTCATAATAGTTTATGTTTCTATATTTTCATACATGAAAATGATAAGTCTTTAACGTAATTTCAAATATTGTAATACTGGTTTTGAATATTTAACGAATATTTTATTTTTAGTAATATTATTGAACTTTATTAATTATACTACACCATTTTATTTCTTTACAATCAATTCTCTTTCCCAATGAATAAATAATGATTTCTATGATGCTTATACATGCTTTTGTTACAAATTAAATAAACAAATACTTAGAAAAAAATTTCTGAACTTCTAGTAAGTCGATGTAATTGGGAACGCCTAGCTAACATTAAAAGATCTAGATTATTTCTATCTAGTATTTTTGATAAGACTGTGGGATAACAAATCAGTTTTGAATAAAAAAAGTGGGCAAGAATAAAATAGTTTACTCTCCCCACGAAAGGAATGAAATTTTAAAAAGAATTTTTTTGAATTGCTGGGGGGCGTGACTTTTCTCTAAGTAGAAGAGCTTTAGCTTATTTTCTGGAACTATAATTAATAAATTAATACAACAGAGTAAAATATACCATAGAAAAGTTTTACATATTTATCTAGGGTAGAACGTAATACTGTATTTTACAATAAAAATGAGAGAAATTTTGTTCTGATCCTTTTTACATAATTACTCAACTTAGAACAAAAAGTGATATAATACATTCTAATATCTTTGCATAAGAATAGAAGTTCCAAATACATTAATTTACAACATATGAAATTCAATTTTGTAAATATCGGATATTATAGAAACTCATTTTGTTAAACAAAAATATAACAGATATAATATCAGTAATTAACACTCAAAATGGAGGTTGAATCAATGACAGCAGAAATGTGAAGGCAATATTTACTGATCTGCACCTTAAAGATATGAGTAATACAACCCACATCATTTACCTATAAAAAATAACTTATAGCGTAGAAACGTTCTCCTTATACTCTTCTAATTGTATAATTCGAAGAAGGAAACGCCTACATTCTCTCAAAATTTCAAAAATTACTGCAAGTTAAAATTACTTTCAAATAAAATATTTTATAAAAATTACACTACTAAAACATAAGCAAACATATTTAAATAGATTAGTTATTTTATGCTAGCTTATTCGTTTATATGAAAATATACGTCAGTAAAGCAAGAACAAATTATTTCACAAAAAAGTGTGCTTAATAGTAGAACGGATATTAGATATTTTACAGTTCGTTAAAAGTTATAATGGACATCTTTTTTTTCTGGGGTAATAATAGCATAAAACTAAAGTTATCTTCTCCGAGGTGATATAAATTATATATAAACAAATAAATAACCAAAAGAGTTATTTTAATAGCTTCAAGTAGAAGATATAAAAATAATAAAACATTTATTTAATATACAGACTTAAGTTTACCCGTTTCATACTATAACATATGATACAAAATAAATTAAACAGCAAAACAGAACTGACTACGATAATACTTCATTATTATTAAATATATAGTGTAGCTTTAAGAATAGCGTTCCATTTTTCACAATTTAAAGCTATTTTATTATAAAGCTACTTCTTTAACTACAAATGGCCATATCGTATGAGCACAAGCATATGAACAACTGCATAATGTTGATAATTTCACAAAATAAAATTAATAAATACTTACGTTAAAAACGTTAAAAGAGATACGTTATTCGTAAATTAGAACATTGTACCAGATTACAAAAGTTTAACTTACTCCGCAATAATTTAATAGATTTGTGTATTATTCAGCTCTCGGCATTAAAGTACAATCTGCAATTTTTCCTCAATATTAGGCTAAATTAAGCGATTATTTTTAATAAATTCTACAGATTAAACCGTGCTTAAACACTTTGATTAAAGGGCGAAATTTGTTTCTGAATGCCAAAACAGTTTTCTATGCATTGCCAAATGTAATAAATGAAGAACTAATTTGGACTTTCTCAAAATTTCTGGGACAAATATTCATGTCACACACGCTGAAAACCTAATAATATGGTGTAAAAAATGACTTTAAATAGACATACACACATTTATAACCAGGTAATTAAATATATTCTGTCTAAGAGACGGGGCGGCATATATAAAAAAAATTAAAAGAGAAACAATTACTTACGGCTGACATACAATAGCGTGAAAGTTTGGGCTTTCTAATAATTTAGTTAATATGCATATGGCTTTAAGATGTTTATGGACATAAACAAAATTTAAATGTATAAACTGTATACATAAATTACGAACATCATCAGAGAGTATTCCACTTAATAACCTATAAATAACTCGTTTTCTTGCAATCACATCAAGAACCTAAAAAAAAAAGTTATGTAGGATAACCAAAATATTTTCAAGATAAATACATTTATCTGCAATTTCATTCGATTTTAGTTGATAAGATAGAAACATAATGAACATATATGTCTGTAAATTTTGAACAAATTAGCTTGTTAAAATATGAAATGTTTCTTTAAAACAAAGAAACTTACAATATAAAAGTTACATTTATTAGTCTCAGGAAAGTAGTGCAAATATCTCGAAATATGTATCTCAGTACAGCAGAATTTGCTGAAACACATTTTTGTGTTCTTTTTTTTTAGAATTCTTCGGCCCACCAACGGCTGAGCGGTAAATTCGCTGAACACTAGTTATTCGTCCTGGGATCGAAATCCGGCGAACAGGCAGGCTGCATTGTTGGCTTTCGATGTTTTCCCCAAGTGTAACGTCAATACGAGCCAGTTTCCCTTAAAATGTCCTCCACGAAGGCTTCCTTCCTTATAGGACAGCCCTCGAGTTGATTTGCCTTAAGCAATTAACCTAACTAACTATATAGTTTTCCTATTTATTGTATGGTTTTAAGACAAATCGCAAGAAAGTGGTTTACGAGGGCTCATTTTCTTGTGCGTTTTACGCTGTATTTTTTTCTTGATATCTAAAGCTGTATACTTGGAATAGGAAGTAATTACGATATTCTGCTAAAACAAATCTGTAGATGAATAGCATTGAAAAATGCAAATAAATTACGTGTAATGTTTTTATCATTTTTGTCCGGAATAAAATCATTTTAACAAAAGATTTTTGTACTAAAACAGCATTAAATGATTGTTTTCCAGTTCTTCATATTTAGTATTAATATTTATATTATCAAATTTATGCTTTATTAAATTTTGAAAACTAGTTTGGAATTACTAATTTAATATGACAATGACAGTTTAACTGATATTTGCTTATACAAAATGTAAATGTACTTATACAAATTCTAGATTTTATAAAGGCGTAAATACAATTTATCAGTAAGCGAAGGAGATAAGAAAATCAAACAATAGTTAAGATTTATATGGAACAGTTGATACATCTTGAGTGAAAAGTTTACATTTATGATTTTAAGCCTTCTGATTTTTGTGCCAGGTATAAAAATAAGAGTATTCCTCATTCGGTGATTATAATGAATATATTACCACCCTGTCCCATAATAATAGCAGCAAGTGAATATTTAAACGGGATATTATTGGCGAATGCAGCTGTAAGTTATGTTGGAGCGCAAATCTGCGGAGCTTTCAATCAAAATATATGTTTCATGACATCTGTCATTTGATTTGATACATCTTTCAATTTTTACGTTAATCTAATTATTACGAATTATAGCTACTTTTCTGATTTCACCCGATGATCGAAATTAGTTGTTTTGTTTCAGTTGAGTATAAACCCATTGTAAAGGTAAGATGCAAAGAGCAGAGTTTTCAAGCAAAAATCGAGTTGTGATTCTACAGTTCTTCATGGAAGAACAACGAAACGTTGCAGAAAGGTGCAATTTCGCTAGCTGTAAAACGTGCAACAGAATGACCGTATCAAAAATTTGGAAACGTACTTCCAAATATAATTGTCAAGGTGAATCTCATGCTAATGTCGAGTCTTTGAAAACAAAAATGTGGTGGTAAATGCTAAGATTATGAAGAAAAACTGGAAAAACTCAGACTTATTCCTCTTAGTAGAAAAGGCATCATAGCAGCAGTAAACATATCCTTCGATAATACTAATCCCGAAATACTGGATACAGTAAGACCCCGCTTAACTCTGTTTCGTTTAGCGTTGTTTCGGTTTAGCGCTCTTTTATTTCAACCCAGGGATTCCACGAAATCGCTCGCAGCATACGGGGATTCCCCGAAATATTGTGCAGCGATAGGTTTCAAATACATATCCGAAAGAGTGTACTTGTATTTCTTGTTTGGTGCGGTATTGTACAGACATATTTTGAAGGGGTAAATGTGGAAGATGTCGAAGAAATAATTCAAGAAGCAGCGGCTAGTCTTTTAATGATGAGCTCAAGGAATTAACTGAACAAGAAGAAAACAAAAATGTTGACAGCAGTGATTCAGAAGAAGAGCAAAAAGAACTTTCGATGGCGTTTGTAAAAAGGAGTTTGTCTACCATAACTGAAATAATGGATCAATTCATTGAAAATGATCCGAATTTTGATAGGAGCTCAAAAGTAAGGCGTGGTGTTAGAGATGCTCTATCCGTTTATGAAGAACTTTTAAGAGAACAACGCAAAAGAAAAAGGCAAACAACATTAGATGCTTTTGTCACAAAAAGGCAGAACACTGAAAACGCGGAAGGCTAACTAAATATGACTGAGAATTTTATTTGTTTTTTTTTTTTTTAAGAATATTCGTTTTGTTATTTATATTTTGTTTTTATTTTTTGCAAGAAATAATAATCTGGTATTAATTTGGGCTTTAAGAAATAAATGTTTGGTTTTATTTTTATTAAAAAAATATACTTTTTAAATTTAATACCTAACCAATTTCCTAGCCATCTTCCCCTAACCCCAATATTTTACATGTAAAGATAGCCTCGTTTAGCGCTGTTTCGCATTACGCTCTACTTTGATGGAACGTATCCCCCGCGTTAAGCGGGGTCTTACTGTAATATGTTTCTGTCACTTCAACAAGTTATGCTGGAAGCAATGAAGAACGATAGCTCCAATAATTATAAGCTCTCGCATATAGTGAAAGCAAACGTTCGCAGCCACAGTTCAAATACAGAAGCGATAATATTAAAAAATCCAGAAACTATCTGAACACTCAAAATAAAAATTACGCAAAACATTTTAAATTTATTGTTTAATTTAATTTCGTTTTTTGATAATAAATGTTGCGTTTTATATTTATTTACTTTTTTTATTGTTATTATGAGTCAAATTAAATTTTTACTATTATTATAGAACTGCTGCTAATGTTACAGAACAGAGGGAGTAGAGACGAGAAAAACTTTCCTTCATGATAAAAGGTATTATTTAATTTTTATTATATAGAATATATTAAATTTTTACTATTATTATACAACTGCTGCTATTGTTATAGAACAGAGGGAGGAGAGAGGAGAAAAACTTTCTTTCATGATAAACGGTATTATTTTTAATTTTTATTATATAGAATATATTTAATTTTTATTATATAATTTATAGAGAATATATTAGCCGGCATTCCTTTGCCTATATTTTTTTTGAGAGAGCGAAATATTTAGCTCCGTTTAATTCCTAATATAATTGACCATTTTATGTCATTCTATTATAATTAATCTTACATTGCATTCTGGTCTGCTAACAAATGCATTAAAAATAATAACACATATTAGATTCAAAAATAATATTTTGAATATTAGCTAATATTAAAAACAATTGAAACATTTGACATGAGATAACAAAAGAATGATATGAATGAAAAAAAATATAAGATGATAAATAAACAATCCAAAGTAATACAGTTATACATACAAAAGTAACTGAACCAGTATGAAAAGTCGTATTTATGATTAAGATACAGAAATTCGAAGAACTTAGACATTCAAAAATATTAAGGTAACGTTTAGATATATAACAAAAAACTTTCACATTCTGATCATTTACTGCATTGTTTATGGTATAATACATTTATCATTAATTAATAATAATTATTTTTTAAGGAATAATTGTGAAAGTAAGACTAAATTTCATTCTTAATGTCACACGTTTCATCCCAAAATAACTCCAATTAATGCAAATAAAAACTGGGCAAGGAAAAGTAATGTACAAAGATAATAAACGATTTAAATCATTAAGGGATTATTTTGGGTGATTAACATTTTAGCTATCGATGTCACTTACATCGATGATGCTTTATTTTGCCGACATTGCAGTTCACAGACACAAATACCCAAGTATTAGGTTCTAATGATTATGGAAATGAGTTTATGTAAATGGCAACGTTTACACTTTGAATTCGTAAAATTTATGTCGCAAGAATTCAAATAAAAAATTAGTTAATTATGCTTCCAAACTATCCAGGACATAACGACATAAATATTTGAGCAAGCAGGATATTATCCGTAATTTTGATTGATTTTTGCATTCTATACTACCGAGATTATCTGTTAACTCATTAAAGTAATTACGGTAACAAAAGGAAAAATAAATAGTTTACCTAGTGAATTTATTCCGCGTTCATTTGGTAGAATAGTTTCGTCTTAACAGCATAAAGCATTATATTTGTCAAAGTTTATTTGCAATAATATTAATTTCTTTTTTACATTGTTATCAGTAAATAAAATAAAATTCGTGGTTCATTATAAATTGATAAATTAATTCATAGTATGATTGTTAAAAGTTGGCTTATTAGAAAGCTAACCGTTCATCTTTAAAATGCAAGTAGTCATTACTGAATACTTTGATCCTCTCTCACTTACAATTTGATCAATTATTAATATTTTTAATTAATGAATTCATAATCTAATTGTTAAAATTTGACATATCAGATCAATCAACAATTTAATGCAAATAATTAATGTTTCTGGATATTTCCACCTTTTCCCATTTCTCTTTGAAAATTGAATTATAACATAAACATTTCGAAAAATAAAGACACACAGATAATTGATTATACAGATTAACTTATCATCAATGACAAAACAAATATGAAATATGCATTATAAAATTTTCTACTAAAATTATTTGCACTAAGTATTTACTTCAAACCCATAGACGATATAACGAAATGCAAAATTATCCAACAAAAATCAGACTGATAACTTCGATCTGGAAATAAAATTGAATGATTTCCTTTAGATAAAATCAAGATGCAGGTTCAAATATGAAATGTACGTAATGATGGATGATAATGTAAAATGAGTAGTTTAGGTACATTTAAAATAATCTCATTACATACATGTCATCGGAGCGCACAAAGACAGTTCAAAAGTTTATGAACATTGTAGTTTCAGCATTGTATCATTTACCTGCTATGAATATAATATTCAGCTCAAGTTCAAATACATGTCCACATTGAAACAACCAATATTTATATATCCATTTACAAATATTTTTTTGGAGAACAAAATGCTTTTTCAGTTTGCAACATTATTTTTTCCTGACAAATAAAGCACTTAAGATGTACAAAATGTATCCTTTCTCTTTTATTCCCAAGGCAGTGATTTATACCTAATTAATGATTTTAAGAATCGCAAATTTTGAAGCTCTGTAAAAGATTTCTAGTTTTAAAGCACTTGTTAACGCAAAACGGCATAATAAATGGTCACTTGTCTGCCATCACGTTTCTAATCTGAGTTTTAGAAAAGCTATTATTTTGTCATTATACACTTTGAAACACTGTCACAGTCTTAAGCGGGGCACACTGTACGAAATATTTGCCATCCAAATTTTTTATAATAGAAGTTACGCTTAGTCCAATGTTTATTTGAAACTTGAAAGTTGACTTCACTGTCAAGAATAAGGTATTTTTCACCATTCAGCAACACATTCTATAATTATATGGATCCCGATTACTTTCGTCATCTGAAGTGAATTATTATTTATGAGGCACAAAAACAGAACGAAATTAGTTTAAGGGAACATTGTGAACTGCAGGTTTAAAATACAGTTTGAAATATCAGATATACGGAAAGGAAGTATTTTGAAAGGTGTTCTATAAACAAAATATTTTATTCTTAATTATTTGGAAAATTAAAGCCCTGGAAAATAAATTTGGCGGATTTAATAAATAGTTAAATTTATCAGCGCTTTCATACTTTTTTATCTGAAATCTTTCTGCAATTAAATCCACAAATTATACATCTCTTCGGGAATATATATAACTTTTTTTTAATCTCCACTTTCAGCAATGATATTTGAATGAGAAATCTAACAAAATTAGAAAACACATCTTCTGTGCCAATTTTTTTCCTCTTAGTATTATAACTTCCTGAAGTTTATTAACCGTGAGGAAACAAGTAGTCATGAAAGGGGGTAGGCACACCTGGAAAGGTGAATTATGATATTTCCTTTCGGGAATTAACTACACAATGAGATCATTCAGGCACAGGACATAATGCACGTAATTCACCGGAGATGACTTTACATTGTTGTTGTTCCAAAATACAAATATTCTATTCTGATATATGTCGCTCCATATATTAAACACCTTTCATTTTGTCTGGCATGATCCAACTCAGACAATATTGGTACAAAAATAGACAGCAAAACACTCATCCGCAATAATAGTTGAAGTTGTTGCGGTTTACACGGCAGAAACCCGGAATAGACGCTGCTGCTCCGAAGGTTAACTGTAGTAGTAGTTGTTCTGAGCTCTAACAGGTGCTCTAGGGAAGCTACAGTCATCATCTTCAATTGGCTGTGCACGTCTCAGGGAGGACCTTGTGGCAAATCTAACAACATCCACAGAAGAATCACGAGCAGGATTGTCGAAATGATCCAGATCCGTGCAGTCTTCGCCGAAAGGGCTGATACCACCACCGCTTGGAGGAGTGTCCGGAAGCGGGGATTTAGTTGGCAAACCTCTTTCCTCTCGAAGTCTTCGAGACCGTCGCATATAGAACTTTGTCGTCACAATAGCCAAGATAGCTACAAGGGCGATGCTCAAACTCAGCGTCAGGTATAGAATAAATTTTTCCTTGTTTTCTAAAATAAGAAAATAATTTTAACTCATACGTTTGAAACAATACTACAAGCAACTACTACATGATAACTAAAATGGCATGATAGGAAGTGAAGGCTAATATTTTAAAACTATAATGCATAAATAAATCAATATAATTTTAATTAATGAACAAAACAGAAAAATGATGATTCATAATCTTTTCAAAAATTTTGCTTTTTCCTACAGTAGTACATATTTGAGTCCTAAACTCAGCAAATACACATTTTAGTGCATTACATATTTCAGTTAACTTTTTTAAATTATAGTACACGATTAATTGCTTATGAGCATCATTTTACTTCAGAATAGGGCATTTTTGTCAATTTGATTTTTAATGTACCTTCAATGGCCGTATTATTAAGTGTTATACGAGGGTCGTTTGCTAACAAAGTGCATTTTTTTTGGGGGGGGGTGACCCCCATACTTTGCTAACCAGTATCGAGCGCAAACTAGAGCTGCTGATAACTACATTAAAAAACAATAGCTTTTACGAATATAAACACAATTAATTGCTACGATACTAGATAACGCAAAATATTCGATAAAGCTTTGTGGGCTTTAGAAGGCTCTAATATTGAAATCTGCGTTAGCAGTATTCATTACGGCCATTTCAATTTATTGGTACAGCGATTCAATTGAAATACACCTGTGCACTGAATTAGACATTTCGTTTAATAATTGAAACATTTTAGATCAATAAATTTGTAATGTAACATCGTTTTTTAATGTTACATTCAGTAAATAAAAGACAAAGCTTCAGAAACTATCTATCTATATCTTTCAGAAACTATCTAAAAAATTTAATCATTCATTTGAAAAAAACTTTTTAAAATCTCCAACCGTTATGAACTCTTTCGTGCGTTATAAATGGCATTTCTAAAACACTGCTGATAATAATTTGAGACTTATTATTCAAGACATTGTTGTGAATATCTTTCTTAATAAAGCTCAGAAACATCATAAAAATAAGCATTCAATTCCGAAGAATGTTTAATGGTTAAATTCAAGAATAATGGTCGAAATATCAAGGAATAGAATTTAAAACTATGGAATTGACACTAAAACTAAAAAATATCTCTAGGAAACTATGCTTTTTGCCACATGTAAGAATAAATTCTTAGTTATGTTAATTTCTATTCATAAATTTAATTCATTTAAAGCGCATTGAAGCTTTATGTTAGATTGTAAATGTTTTCACGTTTAAAAAAAGTTTTTAAAGATCTATTCCACTAGAAATTCTTATTTATTTTATCTTGATATAACAAATAACGCGTCTAAACAGCAGTCAAAAGGTCCACAATTCAAATCCTGGAGAAGACATGTTTGAGTTTTCATGTTTTCTCCTCCGAGAAGCTTGATATACTCTAAAAGTGACGTTTCACTAAAAATATAGTAAAACATAATTCGTTACTATATGAGTTAGGATGACTGGATCTCGTTCCCTCTCCCTAGTCGTCTTTTAAGCGAGGTTAAATATAATTAACTAAGAAAAGGTTTGATTTGGTATTCGTTTTATTAGATTACGGCAACGCACTCGAGGGCTATCTGCCTTAAGGAAGGAATGCCTTCGTGGAGGACTTTCTAAGGAAAACCGACTCGTATACACGTTACACATGGGGAAAACCACGAAAACGCCCTTCGGCCAGCCCGTTCGCGGGATTCGAACCTCGGACCGAACTACCAGTGTTCAGCGACGTTACCGCTCGGCCGGTGGTGGGCCTACTAAGAAAAGGAACCGCTCCTGAAACCAAATTCAACTACGAAGGCCGTACTTATTAGACATATTCCTCTGTACTAGATGGGATGTACGACTCGATTGAAAGATGACGCGCGATTGCAACATATAAACGCTGCGCAAATGCAACAACATATAAACACTGCGCAAATGCAACATATAAACACTGCGCGAATGCAACATATAAACGCTGCGCGAATACCACACATAAAAGCTGCGCGAAGCTATTGCCGATTACTCTCCGATCGGGAAGATGGCCTTTTCAACAAACCATGAGGGATTTGAAGTTCCGAACCGACGTCAAGTAATTACCTAACGCTCAACCCACTTGGATATGTGTTCAGTAGTATATGTGTCAGTTCGTTTCTATCAACTTCAGGACAAGGACTTCTCCTTTTGCATTAAGGGAGGAGAAGAAAGTATAAAGAATTTTCGCCTTCTCCAATGCACTGAAAATGATATCACGTTTGGCTAGCAATTAAAAGATCCAAATTTCGAATACCATCAAGGACACAGCTGATTGTTTTCGTTTTCGGCTCGGAAAAGAATAATTTTCTGTCCAAAGCCATATTCAGATTTTCATGATAGTATCAAAACAGCGCATTTATATTATACTTAATATTCAGAATTTCATCCTCGGTCATTCAAATTAAAGGTTAGAAGTTACTTTTCTTTCTATTTTAAATTATAGGAAGATAAAATATGGTCTCTCGATTTCCAAGTGACATTAGGAATCAATCATTCGGACAAAATCTGATGAAAAAAGACAATTGTAAGAATTTTGAATCACCATGTTTGAATTCATCAGCAGGGATTTAAACAGTAAATTTCACTTTTAGAGATAAACTGGTTTTGAGTGTAAAGCCTTTATTTCTTTCACACTGTTGTATTTACATGTTTTAAAAAAAATAAAATTCTTTCCCTTAAATTTGTGATCGACTGAAATATTTAAAACCATCTGATGCAAATGACTGAAAATTTGCGGCAGCTAAACGTAATAGTACAATCTTACAATTAAGAAACTGATTCGAAAACACTTAATTCGCATAACTAATTCATAAACGTATTCAAATGCATTTCGATACGTTTAGTGCTTGTCGATTTTTTAGCGCTGGTTTAAGTTTTCAAAAACGAAGTGCTGTCATCGTATAGATTTTAATTTTTGTCATTATAGTGTTAAGATAGAGGAATTCAAATGTTGGATAGCATAAAAACCCTTAATAGTGTTAAAATTAATTATGCATTGGCATGACTTTTGCTTTTTTTCTCAAAAGCACAAGAATTCTTTACAACGGAGTTAGATAATCAAATAAATAATCAAAACATTCATAGCGATAACACATTTCTTTAAAAAATTAAATTTCGTAAAACTTTAATGTTATTTACACCATGAATACGATTATAATTTTTTAGTATTCAGTGTAATATAAAAGTACAATAAAAGTATGATCATAACTAAAGCCACTAAAAGTTTAAAAATCTAAATTTAATTAAAAACATTTGCTTTACAATATGCATATGAAACAAAGCATTTTACAAAATAATAAAAAACGGATTATCCCATTTTCTCTTGTTTACATTTTTATGTCATTAATTCATATTTTATTCATTGTTACCTCTTTCGATGTGATTCGAATCGTAAAAAAATGGTGAAATTAAAAACGAGTTTCGTAAAATTATTTGAAAAAAAATTACTTCAAAAATATTAATGTTTATTAAAAAATAATGACATTCATAAAACCGAAAATTTAAATGAGTGTAATTTTAAATTCTAAATATTTTTAAAATTTGCAAACTTTACTTATATATATAAATACTTAGAAATACGGGGAAAAGTCCGTTCAACATCAGTATTGTAATAATTGTAAGAAATGAAAACATTTTTTTTATAAATGAAAACATTTTTTTATAAATTTCGCAGCTACATGGTTTAATGCAAAATTCATGTATCAAGGACAGTCCACCAGCGGCTAAGTGGCAAAAGTCACCGAATACGGGTAGTTTAGTCCGGGGTTCTAATCCCGGAGAACAGCCTAGCTGTATAGGCGTCTTCGTGGTTTCTCCCTGTGTAACGCGAATATCAACCAATTTTCCTTAGAAACTCTTCTCCGAAGGTATCCCTTCTCTTGTATAAATAGCGCTAATGTGCTTTGACGTAATTGAAAATTTAATATAACTACAAATTAAGATACACTCGTAACAGAAAGAACGAAAAATAAAAATCTAAAAGCCGTTTACAACAATATATCATTACAATTTAACTAGGGAAAAACACACTTCAGTTTCCTACCGAGGAAGAGATGCCTTGATGGAGAACTTTTTTAAGTTAAAACGCTTTATGTTGCCTTCATGAGGATATAATTAAATAGACAGATCTTTAAAAAAATCTCTCCGTGCATTTCTAGAGCTAAATGATAAAAATTTCTCTTTCAAGCACAAATTGTTATTAAAAGCGCTTCTTCAGTGAAACAAAGAAATTAATAAGAGGGACTGTCAGTTAGTCTTCATTAATTTCTTTGCTCAATTTTATGTTATTCCAGCTAATAAGATAAGCAATTAATACATTAATATGATAAACAATCAGTGCCGAATATTGTTCCTAATTTTGTGTCGTATTGAAAATAATTAAAAAATGACAATAGCATTCATTAAGAACTAAATCAATACACAAAGTTCTGTCAATTCTTTTTTCAGCATTTACAAATGAACTTTTCCTACTTATTTCTATTTTCCGTAAAAGATGGCACTAATTATATGTTTAATACTTCGTGAAGTCTTTTGAACTAATACATAATTTCTCTTTTGAATTTCATTCGGTTTTGTATATAAAGTAATGAGAAACTTTTTTTAAAAGAATTACTAAAGTCTATTTTGGCAGTACACCGTCTACATCTACAGTTGATATTTTCTTTGCAATAAACTCTACAGAAATACTTGTAAGTCTTATAGAACAGTAGTAATTTTACAGAGTGATATAAGTACCGTATTTGAGTAAGTCAAAGACAGTCAAGCGCACTGAGTTGCTCATGCTGAAATATAAAAATATCACGCTCTAGCAATTTAAAAGAATGTGAGGTGGGCAGGAATGCATGCACATATTCTTTCGGGTGCTTTGGCCTTTATCCGACCTCGTTTGGGTGCCTTTTTTAAATATAGTTTTTCTTTTAACTATAAACTTATTAATTTGAAGATAAACATGCGTGAAAACAGCTTAAAAAGCAATAATAAGTAGTTTTAATTTTGAAA